GAAGAAAGAAGAAATATAGGTATAACATTAAGAAGAAACAGTATAAAAATGTTTTTTTTTATTTATAAAAAAACCAAAAAAATGATAACTGGAATAATAATTGTTTTGAATTGAATCCGAAGAAAATGAAAGCGCGCGCGTAGCGCGCGTTGTCTGCTAGTAAGAATAAGAAAATGCTCAGTATTTATATAACATTTATGTTCCATGTACACATTAGAATTACATTAGAATTACAAAAAGAAATCTTTATAGAACTATTCATTTTAGTAATGACCATTTAAGCTGTTCCTTAGCCGATTGTAATACCTAAAAACAAGAAAAGAAAAACAGTTGTCACATACATAATTCAAAATCATCAGATATGTGTGTATATACAGTGTGTGTGTGTATGTATAGTTTAAATAAATTAGAATAAATCAAATAAGGCATATTGCCTGTGCAACTGTTTGTTCCCCAAGTGGAATGTCATCTGTTCGCAACGCTACCCTCTGCACCACACTTGTTGCATCTGCATCAAGGATTATACTAAAAAAAAAAAAGAAATTAATATCACACAATGTTGTCCAAATAAAAAAATCTAATAAGGAAACACCATTCCATATTTTATTTTACCCTCCGTCACAAATTTCATCCATTGCCAGCATCACTATGTCCAAACTGTCTAATACTGCTCTTTTCTCAACATTTTTTCTGAGAATCTGACTGACAGAGTCATACAAGCAGTTTAAAACACTCATCAGGATCAACTAGAATAAGCATAATGTATTAACACATGTGTGATGCGTGTATAAATAGTTTCAAAATATTTAACAATTGTATTTTGGAGAGAAACCTCATTTTCCTGGGAACTGCCCATCACATAGAAAAATAAATCTACATTACTCCTATAAACACACGTTAAGCCATCTAACATGATAATCTCTGCGTTTGCTCTGTGAGTTTTGCTGAACAGATTTTTCTCAAAGGTTTTTTGTTCCTTTGACGTTGGAAACACATTTTTGTCATAATACTTTGCCAGTATTCTGTTGCCATCATTATCAAGGATAGCCATTCCCTTGACTGTGTATAATGTGGGTTCCTAAGTTGAAAAGTTGAATATTTAGTTATATTAGAATATATTAAAATACACTATACAATATGTGCATATATCACAGAGCAATAGAAAGTTGTGCAAACTGTAAGTTAACAGAATGTTAGGTTATATCATATAATCTGTCATCATTCACTAGTGGTTTGTGGCAGAACAACAATACATTTTTTTTCTATAATACGTTACAAATTCCTATTATTGCATAACTATTGACATTTATTATTTTGTAAACCTACCAATGGTTGACCGTTCATGTTCATATCAAATTGAATCAACTTTTGACGTGTACTAGACCAGCAGTGCTGCACACTGCTGTCAGATGAACCGCTTTCTGCGCAAGCGTACTTTGATAAAACAGGTTTCTTTTCTGTCTCGCTGATTCGATATTTCGAGAATCGAAATACGTATTTTTACATTATCTTTTCTTGCTCAAAAATTTTCAATTTTACATATTTTCCTACATATTCCTACATGTTTCTATCAATTCTTGCATAATTCTAACTGTTCCTATCTATCAGTATCTCTTTTTATAAGTAAAAAAATGTTTTCAGAGATACTATCTCTATTTCTAAGAGTCTCTCTCACTCTCTCTCTTCTCCCTTTTTTATCAAGAAATCAGTGCGATAATAATAATCGCGAGAAACAGGTCGAACATAATTCCGGCTCTGCGACGCGCGTCTACCATAACTGTCTGCTAATGCGAGTGTATCGAAACGCACTTCGATAATCAAAACATCGAGTCGACGCGTGCGCGGCAGAACGCATGTAGCACAGAAAGGCTTACCTACATAAGACGCAGACGTGGGGTATAGGTCTCACGGAATTGATCAATCACGACATCTCAGCAGATATTCTGCTGAACGTCATTGATGGTTCTAAAAGTAAGAGCCACTCACGTTCGATTGCTACAAAGCAGCTTGTTCTGTCGAACGCAATTATTCATAGCGCGTGTCGTCACTACATTCGTTTAAACCAGAGAGAAGCCTGAGGGCGATGTCCCATTGAGCGGAAATTTATAGCGGAACGGAATGTGCGGAACCAGCTCGACCAATCGTAACCACAGAAAAAGCGAAGGAAAGAAAACGGAATGGCTATGATTGGTCGAGTTGATTCCGCACATTTTAAGCGATTTTTGGCGATCGTATGGTACATATACCAAAGTGTACTAAACTATAATTTGAAGTCACTCGAACTATAGTTTGGTACACTTTGGTATACGTACCATACGATCGCCAAAAATCGCCTTTTGTTCCGCTATATATTTCCGCTCAATGGGACATCGCCCTGAGAGCGGTCAGGTCCATAAGAGAATGTGTAATCACTTTTCCGCCCCGTAAACTAGCGCATGTCCACGGGTGGTACACATTGGAACTACGCAGCCAGTCTACGAGCGACATGTCGGTATGTCCACAGCGTGCGGTTCTATTCTGTGCTATGTGCACACGTTCAAATGGTCACCTTCTTCAGGCGTGTGAGTATATTCGCGAGCGTGAATTTGATTTCTTTTGAAATTTAAAATGATCGGTCTCGTGATGAGAAGATACGACAGGAGAACAGAAAAGAACAAAAAAAAAAAAACTGCAACTTTCCACACATCATAAATGTGATATACAAGAAAAGATTTGATAGTCAAGAAAATAATATTATTTTAGCGAGCAGCACATCAGAATTCGTGGAGTGTATCATCTCCTTTTACATCATCATTTGCTGTTTTTTGCTTTATAAATTTTATTCTATTTTCTCAAAACCTACATATATACGTATAAATACAAATTACACAAAAAGACATGTATATTACACAAAGGAGTTTTGCCGATACACAACTATATACGTCTGAAAAGTTGCAATTCCAAAAAGGATATCTATTACTCTGCTTTATTACAATTCTTTATCAGTGTGTTTTCAATTTTCAAGTTTCATTTTACAATTTTTTATACATTACAATACAATAGTTTACATATATTACATATAACATACAATATAATACAATATTATACAATATACATAGTATATATAATCCTATCTACCTATCTTAAACATCTGACATATCTTAAACGTTACAAGCCTCATTAATTAAGATTAAGGCTGCATAACAGCCTTGATCCTAATTGTACATTTTTATTTCTTCTACCTACCTCCGATCTAACATATTTCTTATCTATTCGGCCTAATTTATTTTTTACAAGCGCTTGTACATCCCTACCTACACAAATAACTACCTACCTACATATTTACTTTGAAAAGTTTTAAAACCTATCAAATATTTTACGCGAAGGGCAATTGTTTTAAAATTAAAAAGTAATATTATTAATTGTTTTTATATGTTATTTATTGTAGAATTGCATTTGAAAAGGACCTAATACAAGGTCGAAAGCGTTCATGCTAATTTAATTGTTTAATAAACGGATTTAAATGTTTACACTCTAACAACAGTGTTATTGCTTCAACAGCCAAAATTTATTGTTCTTTAAAAAGTAATATTTTAGATATATTTTAGTTTCACGTCCGAGTTTTGTTTTAGATTTTATGATTGAAAGAAGAATTATATCCACCCGATAAAGCCCGTCATGTATAATTAGAAGAGATAGAAATATTAATATTTTTTAATAGATAGAAAAAATATATATTTCAATATATATTTTTCAATATATATATTTCAAATATATATTTCAAATATATATTTTTGCAAAGATACAATAAAAAGAATAAAAATGTAGAGAATAGATATAAAAAACACATAAGTCTCCAAAAAAAGATTCTATATCGGTTCTTTAAGAGAAATTGATATAGAAATATAAAAGTGGATGTAGAAAAAAGATATAAAGAATATAAGTCTTTAAAAAAAGATTCTATATCAGTACTTTAAGAGAAATTGATATAGAAATATGAAAGAACATAAGTCTCCAAAAACATTCTATATCGGTTCTTTAAGAGAAATTGATATAGAAATATGAAAGTAGATGTAAAAAATACAGATAAATATATATATTTAAAAAAATATAAAAAAAATATATTTAAAAACAAATAAAAAAAGCACATATAGAAGAAATATTACAATATTGTTTTAAATTACACAATATACAAATAAATGGAAATTTCATCAAAAAAGAATCGTCACTCTCTACGTATAATTACATAAGTATCACATATTTTCAGTTTATTGCATGGTGACGCTTAAAAAGTCATGTTCTTTATGGTCACCAAATATTAAAAAAAATATTCATAAGGTAAAAATTTAAAACCGAAAGACTCCTTAACTAGGGAAACTATATGAACCTTTAAACTTTTAAACTGCTCTCCTCTAAAATTTGCGTTTTGGAGTTACAAGATTATACGTAGAGAGTGACGATATAGTGAAAAATCAGTGCGATTACTACTCATGCAGAATAATTTATTCTTCTCAAAAATTTTTATTGTAGAGATATAGAAAATAATAAATAATTTAATCTTAAATCATTATTTTTCCGGGAAACAATTCTTCATGTATGCTCAAATTCTATATCTAGGCATAATAATTTTGCATGAGATTGAGAAGATCTCATATATGATTGTATTTAATTAAACATCATCACAGATATAGAATATGTCCATATATGAAGGATTTTTTTCTAGACTATTATAAAAAAACCGTTTCAGAATAATTTAATTAACTTACTATATTTAAAATTTATCAGGCATATATAACTCTAAAAACTGCAATTTGCTTGTGTGTAAATTATACTACAAATTTAAAGATAATATATATAAAAAAGCAACCTTTCTAACAGTGAGGTGCTTTTTATGTGA